GGGGGGGGGGGTGAAAATCATAGCACTGAACAGGACACAAGGTAAAACTCGTGTTCAACATTGTTTCTGAAATTCAGTGACCTGCTCATAAGAAATTGCTTCCTGGACATCTTTCTAAGCTTTCTTTCCAAGAAATGGTGTTTCTTAAGATATCATTGATCCTCTGATTTTTATATTTCTGCTCCAATTCTGTACTATCAACTCAGATTTTATTTTTAAAAAACAATTTTAAATTAACTCCACATATATATGTTGGTGATTTCTAAAGAATGTTGTCAAAATACCTTGCAAGAAAAAGAAATTTTGTTGTTCTGTTTTATGAAAGTATCAGCACAGGCCAATTTTAAGACAGCCAAAATTTCACAAGTAAAATGATTAATAACATTATCCCCACAGAAAGAAAGCTGCATGGCAAGAGAAGTTTGCAACACAGAACTGACACCCCCTGCAATTTAGGATCCAGCAGCCATGAGTACATAGGAAGCCTTGTTCATAATGATGGGGAATCTCAGAGGGTAGCAGATGGCCACGTAGGGGGCAAATGCCATCATGCTTAGGACACATGTGGTTCCCATAGCAAAGGAGAGAAACATATGCACTCCACATCCAGAGAAGGGAATGGTTTTCTTTGAAGTTAAGAAGCTGCTGAGAAATAGAAGAGCTGGTGTATAAAATGTCCAAGAATGACAAATTACTGAGGAAAAAGTACATGGGGGTGTGCAAGTTGGAGTCACAGACACTTAAAATGATGATGACTCCATTTCTCAGCAGGTACACCAGGTACATACACAAGACCAGAACAAAGTAAACGGCCTCAAGCTCTGGGTAGCCAGAAAGCCCCTATAGGACAAATTCTACCACAGAAAACTGATTGGTCTTCCCCGTGTTAATATTTTCTTTCACCGGAAGAAATTCTGCAGCAGCCAGAATGCGCATGGACCTGTTAAAGCATGTTTTTAAGAGTTGTCTGCACCCTTGAGCGACTTCCTTATGGGTGATATGGACCTATAATTGGATATACGGCTAGGATAAGAATATTACTATCTTCTAAGCTAAGATCAGTTAGACTTTTAGATCTCATAGAAGAGACTTTAGCTAAAAAACAAACAAATCCTTGTTAAAAATAATTCAGAACACACAACTCAGTTAGAATTGTGTATCTCACTTACATTATGAGTTTGAAATTATTTTTAATGCAGTGGCACCATAACACTTTGACCAAACAAATCTAAAACATATAAAAGTATTATTGGCCACCATAGCATATAGAATTTTTTTCTTCACAACTAATACGTTAGCCTTAACAAAAATCACTATCCTTCAGCTACTAAAACAAAATAGCATATATAAATCCTGTTTCAACGGTAACAACCTCAGTTTTAGAAGAGTTTTATGATTAGGAAAACAAACCAAACAAACACAGCTTTAGAAAAAGAACTTTTGGTTATTTCTAATTTGGGGAAAATGTATATCTGCAGTACCTTAAGAACATTAACTATAGGCATTAGTGATGTTTGTAAAAGAAATCATTTTTAGATAAAACTGTTATTCTTTGTCTTTTTCAGTACAAATTGAAGCATCTAGATAACTATCATATCTGATACACATAATGATCAGCAAGTTGGTCTCAGAAAAACTCTAGCATGCATGTCTCAGTGTACAGCCAAACCATAAATAAATGTATAAACCAAGAATGTGAGTGACAGGGGGCTTACTCTTTTACTCCCAACTATGAGAAAATACAAATTATCTTCTCCTTGCACAGAAATCAGCCCCCTCTACTCTAACAACTGCACTTCTGATTTTCTCTCACTGCATATTCAGATTACCCATAATAAAGAGGGGTAACTGCTCAAAATATTATTCAGAATTAGCAATATTTTATAATTATTTGTATCCCATGTCACTGGAATATAGAGTATTTCTACATTAAAATGCCAGAAACAGAAGTCCTACTATTTTATGAGTTTGCTAGTCTCATAAATTCTATCTCAATTAGTTCAGTAAGATAACGAGAACTATCTGCTTCTCGGTTTTTATTAACATCAAATAGTTGTCATTGCTGTTGTTAAAAAATAATAATAATATACCAGTGGAAAAACAGAACTGACTTCTGGTAATGATGGAAGTTGGGCTCTTTACAGTCATTTTACTATGAGAGGCTCCTTTAAAGAATCAGCCAATAGAGCACCAGAGCAACTTAAAGTCTGTGCTGCTTTGAGGATGTTTCTAAATCCCAAAAGCAATTTAAAGTTCACAGTGTGGATTGAATAGACTTGAGAAACTTTCTAGTACTTTTGGGATGAAGTCCCTTAGCAGCAATTAAAACAAAGCTGCTAATACAATTTAATTGAAGTATAACTCACAAAACAGAAATAATTCCTCTGCCGTTACACTCTATGGGAAGAGCAAATTTAAAATTGCTACGCAGGTAAAATGGTCAAGACATGGAAACTAAAATTGACTATATCTGATGGAGAGATGTGGAAGTACTCTGTGACACTTAAGTCAAAATGATGCTTTGTTCTTAATAATTGATCTGCTAATCACCTTTATTTTGACCTCTAAATCCTGGGGTCTCAGAGCTCATAAGCTTTATTCTGTTATCACTGGTCTCTCTAAAACAGCCAGAATCGTAGTCATTTTAATTTTTCTCATGCATGTCCTCTGTTCAAATACAGGGTGGGGCAAAAGTAGGTCTACAGTTGTGAGTACACAAAACACAGAGTTTATTCTTGGAGTATAACTTATTATTGTATTATTTTCCATAGAGACAACTGTAAGCCTACATTTGCCCCACCCTGTACATACACAATACCCCAAACTTATCCAACCTGTCCTTAGTCATGCCCACACTGGCATGAGACAACACAGAGCAGACCACATCAACAATTTCCATGAGATGAGCAAACCATACTTCACTTAGGAACAGTAAAAGAAGTTCTGATTTGAGTGGATAATTATTTTGACACTTCTCATGACTATGTTTTGCAACCAATGTCAAATATCAAAGAATTCATTCATTATACATGGATGTTATGGAACATTCTCCAGCATTAAAACAGTAAAAATCATTGGGTGTACTGTTAAAAAGAACTGAATAAAATTAGATAACAGCACTCTTTTTTTGTCAGTGGACATTTGTAAAAAGGTGTTGAGCAAAAGATGCAACATAATTTTGAACAATAGGAAAGCAACTTATGCCATGGAAAATTGTATTCTATGCATCAACAAATCAAATTTGAAGAGCAATTCTCAGAGTTGTTAACTTCATGCAAATACATTTTCAGCATACTGACTCATAATGCAAATGTTGAACATGTTTTCTCATTAATAAATGTTCAGTGGACAAAGGAATTAACTATTTTTGATGTGACCACGGTAAAGCTATATTACAATGCAAATGTAACTGCAAGAAGTTTTATAAGCAAATTATGTAAAACAAAAACAATGTTAGAGTAGAGCCAAATAATTATAGAAATATAATTAAAGAGATACATAAATATCGATACTTACATTTCAGATAAACAAGTAATTTTTTAGTACAAGTATTTCCTATGCAATATTTTTATTTTATCCCATTGTGCATATGCAAAGGCAATTAGAAATAATTCTAACTTAACTGGACGTCATCCATTTTTATTTGCTAACCTGGCAACCCTAACTTCCTGTGACCAGGACTCACAAGGAATCCAGTCCAAACCTGGGTTGCCCCACCCTGCGTCACTGCCAGTTCTGACCATTCCTAGAATCCAGGTGTCTGGACAGTACTGCTCACAATACTGAAAGACAGTACTATTTTTAGAATTTTTAAATGAGGAAAAGAATATTTAGTGTATTTCTCTAAGCCACTCCGGAAGGTACAGAATTATATATTGTCATCTCAGTTGTAGCCATCCACCACATAAATATCACTGTAGCTTCTCACTTCTATCCCTTTCCAGGACAAATATGGTAAGAAGAAACAATTAGGATGCTATTTATATTCTCATACCAGATGTAGGGCAAATAATAATTATAAATGTGAGGCATTATACATAACCCATGGACACAGACAACAGTGTGGTAAAGGCCTGGGGAGGGGAGTGAGTGTGGGGTGGAAGGGGTGAATGGGGGAAAAAGGGGACATCTGTAATATCTTGAACAATAAAAAAAAATTAAAAATAAATAAATAAATGTGAGGCATTATAGGTTAAAGACAGAATACATTCACGGGTGATGGTATTATAATAATGAATCAGGTGATTACAGACTATAAGTGTTAATATGTATGCTGTAATGCATAAGATTATTTAAAAATGGAGCCTGAGACGTTACTCAATATAGTAAACTCTACTGGTATTAGTGATAAAAAGGACTGCTGACAATACACTATATGCTCCCCATCAAAAGGTTTAAATGTCAAAGCCTTATGAAAGATAGCATATATGCACTACTAGGTGACTGAGGAGCAAATAAAAGAGAGAGAGAGGAAGGGAAGGAGGGATGTAAAGAATGGAAAGGGAGAAACAACATTGTCATCACTGCCTGAAAATAAGGTTGTCTACATGGAAAATGAGAAAAATGTCTATAAGAAAATTGTAAAATTTAAATTACTAAGAGGCTCTAGTAAGGCTGCTAAATACAAAATCAATACACAAAATTCAACAGTATTTTTTGCAGCAGTTATAACTAATCAGAAAATGCACTTTAAAAAACATCTCTCACCACTAACAAAAGTATAAAATTCTCACAAATAAATACAAAAGCTGCATAAGAAATTTCTGAAGGACAGTATAAATCTTCAGTAAAGTGCATAAAAGAAAACCTCCCACACTTGGAGGAGCTACATTTTGTTCATGTTACGAAAATCAAGAATAAATATGTGAATTCATCCCAAATGGTTCCATAAATTTAATGTAATTTCAATCAAGATAAAATTGGAATTGTTTTTTAATTATGGAAGTTTACAAAATTATTTTCAAATTGAATAGTAAAGACCAAAATAGCCAAGAAAATATGAGAATAAGAACTGCATATTTACTGTAAAAAATGTCAAGATGAGTGAGAAAAATACAATAATTAACAGATCGCATAGTACTGGTGCAGGTAAAGATGAATACATCAATGAAATAAAGTAGAGAAGTCAGAAATAGCCTGGGCATATGTGAATGTTTATATCCTAAATAAATGGTATTTGATATAAGATGGAAGTGTAAATCACTGGGGAATGGATGAAGTATTTAATAAACTGAACTTTGATAATGGACTACTAAAATAGAAAAAAAAAGATCAAATTCAACTTCCACCTTACTCTGTGACCAAAATAAATTTTATGCAGATCAAATACCTAAATGCCAAAATTATAACTGTAAAACATCTAGAATAAAATATAGGAGAATGTCTTTATATGCAGTGATAGAAAGATTATATCTTAAATGAGACCCCCCCAAAAAAGGACATTTTTTTAATCTTTTAATTTATCTTTATTGCTGAAAGCATTATAAATGTCCCCTTTTTCCCCCATTGATCCCCTCCCCCCTGCACTCCCCTCCGCTAAGCCTTCACCACACTATGGTCTGTGCCCATGGGTTATGCACATACGCATATAAGTTCTTCATTTGAATTTTGAAACATCTCTATGGCAAAAATGCATCATTAAGAAGGTTTAAATAACAGCACAAATGGAAAACTATATCAGTAACAAATACAGCTGAAAAGTATGTTTCCAGAATATTTTTTAAATCAATCGAATTAATAAGAAAATATGAACAACATAACAGAAAACTGGGCAACAGATATCAACAGGGACCTCAAAGGCAAGGAAAACAGAATGGCCTATAAAATTATTTTTTAAATGT